ATAAACCAATGAAGAGATTACCTTCATCTATATGCAGTTTCAGGATTTTGCTTCTGTCAGGCAGGTAATATTTTGTGTTCAACGACTAATGTAAGCATTATCAGCATACCTTTGCACAGCACATATTAGGAGGAAAATATATATTTAACCAATTCTGAGCAACTTAAATGGGGAGAAAAAAAATGATGAACTAAAAATTCTCATATGAGCCATGAGAGATCTCTCTGCAAGATATAACCGTGTAGCTTGGTTCCCAGTGAAGTAAAAGCCATGACACACTCTGGTTGCAGCTAAAAAGCCAGCTTTGCACTATTATTTCCACTTCATTGAGAGTTTATACCACATGACAAAAACCCCACAGGCCTGTTTCCCTTTGTATATAGATACACATGAATCAGGAGGAGCTCTACTAAACTCAGCTGAGTAACACTGTTGGAGATTTGTGTGAGAGAAGCAAATCAGGTACTACAAATCTAATTACAAGGCAAGTTGCTCAAATAGAGAGTGGTTGCTAAATTTATGCATCTCAAATGTGGCCTGCAGTGTACTGGTAGGGTATGTGATATCGTATACTATGGACAGTAGTGGTAGAATGCATGCTTTGCTTGTAAAAGGACCCAGGTTCAATCCGAAGTGACGCTGGGAAAAACTCCTGCTTGAAATCCTGGAGAGGTGTGTAGAAAGTACTGAACAAGATGGGCCAATTGTCTGACTCAGTATAAGACAGCTTCCTGTGTTCTTATGACTCTATGGATGCAATACAGGGAAATGTAGGCATGGTTAAATCATCAGTGGGACTCAAGCATGTCTGTTTCTGGGTTGCATCCCACAGTGCTGCATTCCCAATTACAATTGTCTGGATTGGGCCCTGTATGCTGTCCTTATCACTCATACTGCATCAGATACATGGTGAATACAACTGCAGCGCAGCATCTGACTGGGCGGGTTCCTTGTTGTATGCTAATTACCTGACAAGACACCCTTCTTGTCTAGACTAGCCAGATGTCCCTAAATGGCCCATAGAGATTCATGGCCAGACAAATTATCTGTATCTAAACCTTAGTGGCTCATCTTTTAGATGCATCAGCAGGGGGAAAATGGCTATTAAAATCATACTGGATTGTGTTTCTATCTAGAATGTAATTCATAATCATAAATATAAATAAAAACACTGACCACATATAGAGTTCTTAGGTACGTTAATTCTGTTTTTCACATCATGGACCTTGCTCATAAACAGTGTTGCATTAACAGTGTAAACTGAAGATGGTCAGATTCCAGCTAATTTATGCCTAAAACCATTTTCTCAGAAGTAATACCCAGTGATTTAAACAGAACTTGCTTCCAGATCACTGTGCTTATGATCATAGCCTTCAGTCCCACAGACCTTAAGCAGGAAGAAACTGATTTAAATTCAAGCACTCTAGCCAATCCCTTTTGTTATGTGTTTAAAATAAAGTACTGTAACAGATTTAGTATTTGGACCACACTGTACAGCAGATACACTGGAAGAAATCTAAAAGATGGGCTGGTGTCTAAAATCTGTTTGCTACTTTAATATTAATAAGGTGTATCCACACTTGGATTAGAAAAAGATAGAGTAATCCTCAAACCACTTTATTTCAAAATGCCTCTGTTAAATGAAACTATCCTGTGAGGAAGAGACAGAAAATCATAACCTTAAAAGGCTATAATTTCATGTTTGTACAGAAGTAAATAGGAAGTAAGTCCCAGAAGTGAGCTGTATACAAGTGTAGAAACCATTGAAATGTGAGTGCAAAATTTAGCCTTTAGCAGTAGCACGCATCATTTCTGTGATAACTGGAAGATAGCTGTAGTGTAGAAGATCAAGTAATTCTGAAATACTCAAGCAGCCTTTTTTAAAAAAATAAAAATAAAAATAAACTTACAAAACTGAAATACCTTCAAAGTTGCTTTTGTCTATTAAATAATTCTCTCCCCCTTCAAGGGTCTATGTTCCACAGTTTCAGCTATAAGTCTCTCATGGGAATAAGGGCTGGCACAATAAATAGAGCCAATGCATTGTTGTTGCACTCAAGTCTTTGACTTATCTTTGCCAGAGTTTTACTCTGAGCTGCTACCTCAGAGTTCTAAGGTAACGCATTTCAAAGAACTCAGAAAGTGAAGAGGTATTACTCTACTTTTAAAAAATAATGATAATCTCAAACTAATCGAAGAAAAATCTATTCAGCAGATTATTATTATTATTATTTAAAAAAAGAATAAAACAAATTATTGCTTAAATGATTCTGCTTACCAGAAAAGTACACAGAAAAGGAGAAAAATAGCTCAGGCTTGGTTGAAAGACTAAAAATGCACATGAATCAATTATGAAAAAGAGAAGGTCTCTTTGAATGAGGAAAAGCTGATTGGAATTAAGATAGGCTTTGTTCATATCTGCAAGGTACAAGGAGAGGACTTTTCAGTGGAACAGAAAAGGGGGATTTGGGAGTGTTTGGCTGCTTAGTGCTATAGTGCTTTAGAGCCCATGTGAAAATTTGCTGCTAGCTATTAATCATCATTGTGCCCCTGCAAAGAAGCTGTTACAATGATGACTATATGTCATTATATTCCCACTGTATGTAACGAATCAGAGAGCTGGGAAAGTTGGCTAAGAGCGGCTGGCAAACTTTTTAGCAGCGGAATCTATTTAAATAAATTTACATCACATTTGCTACTTTCTCTGGTATGGGAATCATACTTTAAAATGAAACAATATGCTGTGTTCATGGGCCCTGATCTTTTATTCTCCTGTCTCTGAGCCTCCTTTCCAGGTCAGCCTTTGCCAGCACTGACAGCATGCTTTTCTCATAGCGTCTCCTTCTCATAGCCTTTGGTTGCTTTCAAGTTCAATTTAGCACAATAAAGTTGTTATGCATGACAGTTTGGAGAGCAGAATAGGTGGTGTCTGAGCCCGCTGTGTCGCTACAAAGTGGGTTCATTCTCTGCAGGCCAGCTCAGTTACTGAAGCCTTGCTGGTGGGACACTGCACTGGACTTCCAGACGTTTCCATCCTGACCAAAACAATTAGCTTCAAACGGCAAGAAGCCGCAGGGTCGTCCTCTCTTTCAGTGAGACTCCACCATTTAATGTGCTGCAGTGGATTTCAAATTCATGTTGATTTATCCAGTTGCACCCCTCTTTTTGATAGTCTTCATGTATATATATACCGTATATATACAGATGTGTAAAAGGAACAGGGGGGAAAGTTTGAGGCTTGCCCGGCTCAAGAGTTTCGTTAGAAAGCTTGAGCCCTTGTTTTATGTTTGTTTTCACAAAGGAATAGACTCGAAACATGTCAGCCTTAATTCTGTTAGGCTGGAGTGGCTAAAAGAGAGCCCTGAGGTTCTAAGGACTGGACCTGAAAGGAAGTGTCTCCTTTGGTAAACATCAACAAGCCAAACAATAAACAAGCCTTAAGATGCTAAAGTTGTCAAGCTGGTTATCTGTTATAAAAGATTCACCGTGAGAATTTTTGTAAACAAACAACAAACAAGGAATGCACCTACTTTTGGCTTAATCGTGACCAATTTAAAATAAAAGAGATCTCATTTTTTTGGTAGTAAATTCAAGATGGCAACAAACCATTGATCTAATGTAAGAGTACACCAGCACTGCAGCATCATGTGGATCCCTCAAAAGACTTTGGCAGATCAAGTTCCATCAATGCAAGTGATGCTTCTGTGGGCGGCTGGAGTCTAGGCACTGAGAAAAGCCTCCTCCTTAACAATACCTGCCTGAAATTTAAATAACAAAGCAAATTTCAAGCTGCAGTCCATCACCCGCTCATTCCAGATCTGATGTAAACCAATGGGATTGTTCTTCAGCAAGTGGGTTTCAGATACGATTCTTTTTCCAGTGCCACCTGGATTGAACCTGGGACCTTTCGCACACAAAGCCTGCATTTTTTCCTTGAGCTGCAACCCTTTCCAACCTCCTCTCTCCTTGCAAAAAGTGCTGCATTGTAAAATCTATCTTCACAAACTTGAAGCAGCCTCAGATTGGCAGGGGTGTTGCCAGGATTTCTTTTGGAGGGGTGTAAACGTAAAATAAACAATAAATCAATGTTAAAATGCTACACAGCATCTTAACGACCCATGCATCATCAGCTACATTTCCATTCTTCTGGATGTGTAGTTCAGTATATGCTTAGTTGATTGTTACCTGGAAGCTCCCTTTCTCAATATAAATTCGCCCAATTAAAGATGTCACTTCAACCAGTTTGGTCTCTTGTATATTGTTACACATTTAATCATCACACTGACAGACAACTTGTCCTCAGTCAGATGCCAGTGAAAGAATGTCTATGTGCAAACTTTGACTTTGACTGTGAAAAAAACAAAACATTATGCACTTGACAACAATATTTGGATACATTTCCCAAGCTGTTATATTCAACCACTTCAGACATTTCAAAGTGAACTCATGCACAGGTAAGATATGTGTGACTATGAGTTTGATGTGTTGCAGTCATTCATTAACCAGGTGGAGAACAGATTGCAAAGATCATTTCACTTGCTTTATACATTCTGGACTGTAGTCACAGGTTTTTCTTGATGTCCAAATAATCATGTGGATATTCTGATATTTTCCAAAACAAGAGCTTTATTCTATTTCCCCCTATTTAAAAAGACTTTCGCATGTTTGGGGTGATACCTTGCATTTTCCACAATTATAAATAAAAGACTTAAGGTTTAAACAAAACAAAACACACACAAAAAAGAAAGACAGGAATCAAGTGAGACACAGGCAAGGGAGGCTATAAACAACCAGACAGTGAGACTACAGTCTATCCTCATATCCCTCCATGAGAATTTCAGCAACACCATTCTGAATAAATGGCTGTGGATTGTACCAAACATTCACTTCTAGGATGCTGGATCAAGTGGTCAAAATGTGATCAAGGAGAGGTATTCATTGACTCCCAAACACCATAATAATTGACACTAATTGGCCCCCTTGTTGTGTCTCTCAGCAACCTTATAACCTTTGGAGAGGTGGTCCACCCATCAAAACTGAGACATGTTGTAAGGACAGTGCATAACACGTTTGCTCTGCCCCTGTTTCTGCTATACCTCTTCTGTGGTAATAGAGCTTCATTTTATAGTATCTTCTAGTGCATTTCACATCCACTAAAATTTGATACAGATAACAATGGAATATTACACACACACACACATCTCACCAGGTAAAATAATTAACTGTGAAATCCTAAGCATGTTTCTTAGCAGTCCCATGGAACGCAAGAGACTTAACTCACTATCAGGTGTATGCAGATTTGCACCCCCAATGTGACTTTTGATGTGCAGACTCATATTGCGACTTAAAGTGAAGAGCTCTGCATTCTTTTTTGCCTGGAGGTATTTGTTAATAATCAGGCTGATTTGGAAAAATAAACAACTAACACTGAAAATCCATAAAAGGAAACTAGCCTCAATGTTAATTGCATTAAACAATCATCCTGTAGCTGTGAATAGGAAAGCTGACCCAACAAACATTTGGTGTTTTACATACATATATATATATATACATGTATATGGTGTTTTATATATATATATTTCCCTTCTTGCACTGATTAACATCTGGATTGTGGATCTGAACTTATGTTTACTAGTTTTCATGCTTTCCTTAAAAAAAAAAAAAGGCTTTAGTAGGTTATTGCTCATTTTCTTTCTTATTATAAGGAGAAGTGCCTAGGAACATAGCATATGTGTAAAATAAAAAAAGCCTTAAAGGTGTTTCTGGGTTCTGTGCACAAGTGTTGAATAAAGACACATGCTCTGTTTTCCATATCAACATGCTGTACTACCACGTCTTAGGGAAGCACCATAACTTAACTTGTCCTCCACACAAAGTTCTGGCAAGCCTCAATAGATTCATTAGTGATTTTTTTTCCCTTTAGAACCAAGGAAGCTCAAAGAGCCCCTAACAATGGAGCTAATCACTGCCTCTTCCCTGACCCAAGCTTATGTTTTCCTCCTTTTCACTCCAGACTCTTATTTCATTTCTGAGCAATTGGCTTTCTATGGCACTCTCCAACTAAATAAGTACCCCTTCTTTCCCTGTGCATATGCATCTTATCTAATGTATCTATACAATCTCTCTTTACCTGCATGCATTTAATATAGAGTCACAAACAGTTGAAATCTTCTAAGGTGATTCTCTCTCTCTCTCTCTCTCTCTCTCTCTCTCTCTCTCTCTTTCTCTCTCTCTCCATAGGCCACAAACAGCCTGGCATTAAAATGCAGATTATGTTCTTTCAATTAGGGAAGGCTGTGCAAAATCTGAAGGGAAAAAAGACAAAGCTAAATGTTTACGCTAAACAAGTACATCTACGTTGTTAGAAGTGAGGTTTGGCAAGTTGCAATTTCAATGGTGCTGCTAATGAATAAATGTTAGACTGTATCAACAGTTCTGAACAGGCTTGTGGCTTATGTGTGCATGAAGTGTAATGGTATCAATTGACTGGTTCTTTGTGGTTGCTATAAAGTACTCTTGAATGTTTCGATGGCGAGAAGGCATGCAGACAATAAAGCCATGACAGCTGAATGTCAGCAGCGACCTTGAACCTAAACTGGTTTTGCCATTCCAGTGATTCCATATACAGTAGACGCAGGCGCTGCAGCTGGGCCTATGGCACCACCTTTCATTACCACTGTTCAATCCCCAGGCTTAGCTTCAATTGACATTTTTGCCATATCCTGAAACCCTGCATCACTTATTAGTAATGGTACGGCCGAGATGCTTTGCATTTTAATTGGGCTTGCGGTGGCATTTACAAAACAGAAAACACAAAACAAAACAAAGCCAGTCACCGCTGATCAAATGGTTAGCATCAACATGTGCAGCCATAGAGGCACAAGCTGCTCTGCTATGTGACAGGCTTTCTGTCGCCTGATTTCTGCCTTGCATCACATACCAGGTGCTGATTACTGCTCAAAATAATTTAGGATCTGTTAAAATGTTCTTGGGAAAATTAATTATATTAGCAATGCAGCGTTTGTTTTCCCTACCCCCTCAATAAAACCGCCAAAGATTTCTCCTTAAGGACACCTATAGTGTGTCTTTAATATTTTCGGTTATATTATGAAGCAAGAATTGGTTGGAGAAAGATTGACCTAAGAATGTAAGCATTGCCTTACAGTCAACTGAGCTGAGACAGACATTTTGCCAGCAAGTGTCATTTCACACTTTGCAGTACATTTCCCATCACTTTCCATACAGCAAAAAAGTCTGATCTTTGGGGGAAATGGGTTTGCTGTGCAAGACCTCCAAGTCAACAATAATTTCATGACCTGATTTCAACATGATTGAATCCCACCTGAAAATGTTGACAGTCTGGATGCACCCTGCAATTAACAACCCAATGCTGTTTTGCTGCTGATCCCCTTTCAGAAAAAGAACCATAACGTCTCACTGTTACTGCTGTTGGCACAAGGCTGCGCTAGCCTTCATGATCACATAATACTAGAAGTTGGAGGACAAAGCTAACAACTAGTCATGATGGCTATGTTCTACCTCCACTGTCAGAGAAATGTTGCCTTTGTATACCAGTTGCTGAGAATCACAGGTGGGCCGAGTGCTATTCCGCTCATGTCCAACTTGCAGACTTCCCCCAGACATCTGGCTGGCCATTGTGGGAACAGGATGCTGGTCTAGAAGATGAGCCATTGTCCTGATCCAGCAGATTCATCTTTATGTACAAGGAACAAGCAAGATTTGTAGGTCACAGGCATGGCTTCTCCCTGTTCCAAGGTGGGGAATTTGTGGTCCTCCAGACTCCAGTCCAAACTAGTCTGGCCAATGCAAGGGATGATGGGAGTTATAGTCTAACAGAATCTGGAGAGCCAGCTATTGTTGATCTCCTGCCCCCCTCCCTACATTATGCTACTGGTTGGTGGGTGGTTGCCAGGATGTATTTGACAGCACACTCACATGTAGAACCGGGCTGCTTTCTAACATTAATCAGAAAGTTTAACTAAACTAACTTGTGGAATGGTCTGCATGCACAATGGAGTAAGTTCCACTGATCCCAACGGCACTTAAAACTGAATAAATGTGTGGATGATTAAACTAGGGGTCAGCAAACTTTCTGCAGGGGGCAAGTCTACTGTCCCCCTCAGACATTGTGGGGAGCCAGACTATATTGGGGGGGGGGGAATGAACGAATTCCTATGTCCCACAAATAACCCAGAGGTGCATTTTAAATAAAAGACACATTCTACAGTGGAACCTCGGGTTGTGGACGTAATCTGTGATGGAGGCACGTCCGCAACCCACAGCATTCACATCCTGAAGTGCTGCATTTGCGCAGGTGCCAGCGTGATTTGGTGCTTCTGCACATGCATAAAGTGTGATTTAGTGCTTCTGCGCATGTGCGAGCAGCAAAACCCGGAAGTAACCCATTCCGTTACTTCCGGGTTTCCTGCAGTCTGCAACCCAAAAACACGTAAACTGAAGCATCCGTAACATGAGGTATGACTGTACTCATGTAAAAATACGCTGATTCCCGGACCGTCCGCGGGCCGGATTTAGAAGGCGATTGGCCGGATTCAGCCCCTGGGCCTTAGTTTGCCTACTCATGGATTAAACAAGCGATGGCTTTTAAAATGTGTTTGTGTGGGAAGAGGGAATTAGTTTCTGTTTGTTATTGTTTTATTATGTATTTTGTGTTCTAATTTTGTATTTTTGTGTTGCGAATCACGCTGTGATCTTTGGATGAAAAGTGGTATGCAAATTTAATAAATAATAATGATGATGAAGCATGGCTTTGCCATGAAGTGATGATGTGAAGCTATTGTGTCAAGCAGCACATTCTGCTTCTCTAGCTGCAAATCCCAGTGTGTTATTTGAAAATGGTCCAGACAAGATAGTGATTATTTGAAAATGGTCCAGACAATAATCATTTAGATTATTCTCAGCTCACAATGGTGTTGGACTGGGGAGGCCTCTGGTTATGTGGTTCCCAGTAGTCTCACTGGAAGAGAAGAGATCTGAAGCTCAGAATGGGCCTGACCTTAAAACAAGCTGATTCTGGGTGTATCTAAATCAAACCCAAACATGAATCCATTCTGAATCAAATTTGGGGGTGCTCACCCATCTTTGTGGGTGTTCTGTTCATTTTTGCCAAATGAACTAGGTATTCCACACAGACAAAACAAAGCAGCTAAATAAGTGCACGAAATAAAACATCATTCTAATCAGTTGCCTACCCTGGCTCTCAACCATATTGGCGTGAGCTGGAACGCCTGGAAATTAACAAACTATTTCTGAAATTAGGGTGGTGGTTAACTGGAACCCATAGTACATTTTTAAATGATGATTGCATCACAGTAATGAAAAAAAAATCTATATCTGTTCCTTTGAGAGCTAGGAAGTTTCTAGGTCAACTCTCACCTCAACTATGGCCTAGGGGGCCTTAAGCAAATCACTATTTTCTCATCCTCTGATCTCCTACAATGCAAAAGCAATAAAAGCCCTTTTAATCACCAGCTTCAGTTTATTTATATGGTATCTTTCCATAAGAGGTTATGCCCAAGGCGGCTTACTATCCATAAGACACAACAATTGAAACAATATATACTTCTCAGAATACAAATCATAATTGCATCAACATTTCTAAAACTAATAAGATATTATAATGATAATCATTTAACACAACTATTTTGAAATTGGCTTCGATCTCTCTTTCTCTGCATAGAACTTTGCCAGTTTTTGTCCCCCCCCCACTGAAAAATGGAAAGAATATTAGTCTACCCCAGGAGTTCTCCAGATCCCACTTGAAATGATTGAAAATTACAGAGGCACACTAGTCACAAAATAGTTGTTCAGAACCAGATCCAGTCGCAATATGGTAACAGATGGAGGCATGATTTGACATAATCAGTAGGCAGTTACTGACATTATTTTCTATTGCCATCCAGTCACTCTTTGGAGATAACTAAATTCTTTGCCACAGTGTTTTCCTTGTGGCAAGGAGTTTCATAGTTCAGCTTTCCTCACAATGAGCTCAGACATATTTGCTCTGGAGGTATTGAGACTCAGCCTCCCCATTTTAGGCAGGAAATGCCTAAATCTCTAAGTGGAGAAGGCAGTTTTCAAAGAATTGTAGAGTTGGAAGGGACTGTGAGAATCATCTAGTAGCCCAAGCCCCTGCAATGCAGGAATCTTTTGCCCAACATGGGGCTTGAACTCACAACCTTGAGATCAAGATCTCATGCTCTGCTAGCTGAGCTCCATATGAATTTCTTTAATATTTTTCCTTCCACATGCCTCTCAAAGTATTTTTATGCCTCTCCTGTAATTGGTTATCTCATTTTCCTTTCACATGCAACTTGTACCTTATCCACAGATGCACACAGGTACTCACCACCATCCTACTCCACCCCCACCCCACCGTGGCAGACTTTGGATTTTAAAATTTCAGCAACGCCAAGATTCAGCACACACACCTGCCTCTCACCTTCCATTCTAAGTCATTGTTGTAGTGAGCAAACTGGTTGTGCTCCCCTAATCCACCTGTGCCATCCCAGCCCTGTCGAGTTAAGCAGAAACTAAGCCAGACTACCATGTGGACTACTACTGATGTGAAACCTGCAATGATTCCAAATATTCTGGAGCCCTTACATTTCAATATATGTGGCGATCTTTGTAGAAAACTACATTTACAATGGCATTTGATTGTCGCTGTTTGTCGGTGCACTTGCATCCACCTGTTAATGTATGTTTTCAACAAACAAATTATGCTTTGTAAACTGCTTAGTGGAATAAGGACTCAAATGCCCCTTTCACAAATCTTATTAGTAAATACCCTTGCAAATATAAATGTTTTATATTGAGATTGTTTACATAAATTGTGCAAATATGTGTATTGAAAGAACTCGAAGACATCACGTGATGTGCAGCAGTGCCTATTCTGCTGCATCATCCGTTTCAGGACTAACTTCATTAAGCTTTGTGACAAAGAAATGCCTTTTCCTCTATCAATCTGCCATACTTTGAGATCACTGGCCAATGCCCTTCCCTGAGTACTTCCACCATAAGAACTGAGACAAGTGTTACCAGGGAGAGAGTGTGTTCATCTGTGGAACTCCTCCTAAGGAAGCCAGCCTGGTCTTATTGCCACCTAGGTGCCAAGCAACTGCCCTATGAAGAAAGATTGCAATGCATGCAAACACACGAGGGAGAGAGAGGCGGGGGAGGGGAATTGAGATTTCCACTTTGTGGAGATGTTTCTTCGAAAGTTGTGTATAAATAAATAAGCTTCCATTTTAAATCAGTGGTGTAACTAATTGCAGTTACATAACAGTAGCCAAGGGCTCAGTTTTTTTGCACACACACACACACACACACACACACACGAAAACACTCATTTCTGGAAATGCAGTTTGGACAAAAGTTAAATTCTTTTCCCTTCCCTTCCACCAGGGACAGACTTTGGTAATATGGTGCCATGAGCAATGACAAAATATGGGACATGCTCCTAAATATTTCTTCTTTTCACAATAATTCCTTTTGGTATAGTTGCTTTTTATGGATCTTTGAAAGTTGTGTATAAATAAATAAGCTTCCATTTTAAATCAGTGGTGTAAAAGAAAAAGAAAAAGTTCCCCTACGATGCTTGTCTGATCTCAGTTGTTTCTTCCAGAAGCAGCTTTTCCTGTGCAAAAAGGGCAGCGTCACCACCTTTTCACATGTTACATATAATGTGCAGTTTGGCCTTAGAAGCAAACTTGATCTGACACAGATTCACATGTATCTTTCCCCTAAAATTGTCATTTGTTTGTTTCTAACCCAAGAACAGTCCTGCTGGATCAGACCAAATGCACATGTAGTCCAGCACCCTGTTCTCACATTGGCCAACCGGATGTCTATAAGAAGACCACAAGCAGGTCCTGAGCACAACACCATCCTGCCCACCTGCTATTCCCAGCAGCTGGTATTTAGAGACATACAGCCTCTGATAGTGAAGCTGGAACATAGCCCTGGTGGCCAGAACCATTACTAGCTTTATCCTCCTTGTCTTATCCTCTTTTTAAGCCATCCAGTCGGTGGCCATCACTGTCTCTCGTGGGAGCAAGTTCCAAAGTTTAGGCATGTGCCCTGTGAAGAAGTACCTAAAGCAACCTCAAGCTATTACGGTACTTTTGAGTGGAGCAATGGCAGGGAGAGGGAATACCTCACTGATTTCCCTCCAACCATTTCTCCACTCAAACTCTGTGAGCAGGCGGGGTGTGTGTGTGTCTTGAATATATTTATCTTTTTTTAAAAAAATAATATTTATTGAGAATTTTAAGATTACAAAGAAACAAAGAAAAAAGAAGAAGGAAAAAACAAGTAACATTTAAACTATACGAATCAATAAAAAAAAAGATCAAAAAGAGAAAAAAACAAAACACATAATACTTCAAAATCAAAAAACAAAAATAGACAAATTTAAAAACAAATCCAATATTCCCAAATCATTAACTGTCATTACCTTGTTTCATCGACCTCCTCATACCTCCCTTTTTTGTATTCTAGTTGTTAATTATCTCAGCAAATCCTTTCCATCTTTCATAATATTCTATCATTAAATTACCTTAATCTATTTTAACCTTATCTTACCATAAAAGGCCCTAAAACTTAAAACTTAAATCTTATTTATACCAAATTCTCTTAACCATGACATATTCTTACATAATTCTTTTTAACATTTCTGCTAAAGCCAAATAATTTCATTCCAACATTTTTCTAATACTCTTTACTTTTACAAAATTTTCCTAAATAAATTGTTTAAAACTTTCTTCCAATCTTCATCCAACGTCTCTTTCTCCTGGTCTCGGGTTTTGTCAGTCCTTTCTATCCCATCCATCTAGTCCATCAACCTGGTAACCTTATATCCGAGGCCCTTGGATCTCTTCCATGTCCCCATCCGCAGATCTTCTTCATATTTATACCTGTGCTTTACTTTGTCTTCTGCTCCTTTCACTTGGGGAGACTCCAGCTTGACAATGTTTTTGTCCCTTCTCGACAGATCAGCCCCTTTTCCAAAGTCAACACTGAACACCATATGGTATTTAAAAACATGTTTCAAAGTCCCTCCAAAGTTAAGGGCCCGCACAACCCCGGATGCCTCCCAGCCCAAAGCCAGACTTGAAAGGTCAAAACATCCCTGCATAGGGGGGTCTATCCAGCCCCCCATCTCCAAACCAAACAGAACTCTGTCTCTCCAAATCTGGCTTTCTCCAGGTTCATTCATCAAGTCCAACAACTCATGTTCCTGCTGGGCCACAGTTCCCTCCATCTCTGCCTCACTAGGTCCAGCAACAGCCTCCTCCCTCATCTGATCTGTCAAAGCACACTCCTGAGTTAACTCCTGAGTGGGTTCTATATAAGTACCCACTGCCTGTCCAAACTTTCCGATCCCAACAGTCATCAAATCCATCTTCTCATGTAACTGTTCCAATAAAGCACTTGTCTTACAAAAGGCCAACACCAGAGCCTCCAAATACATTGTTGTTGAAGGTCAGAGTCTGTTCCCACGATCTTAATCTATTGCAGCTGCAAAGCTCCCCAGTTCGAATTTAATAACAGTTTCACAAGCTCCCTCTAGGGGAAAAAACTTCTATTTGTATCCATCTCTCCTTTTTTTTTTTAAAGCAAATCTAACAACAAAGTTTCCTTTTTCAGATATTTTGTCAATATTTTGTTCCTTTTAGATGCGAAGGGGAACAATGGAATCAATATGTTTCTCTTCTTTTAACTATCTGTCAAAAATGTTTGTCTATAGTCAATGAACTTCCCAAAGACGTCTGTCCTGACACCCCGCTCCCAGGTTCAGGACGGTGGAGAATTGCTTTTCTTTACTTGTCTTCTGCAAGTTTAATCAGTTCAGAAAAAGTTCCGCCCTCTTCTCCTGCTTCCAAGGGGGGTTCAGTAATTTTAAATGATGAAAATTGATCCTTTACAACGATTTTCTAAGCTCTAGCTTGCCGTGTCTTTGCTTCAATCTATTTACAAAAAGCGGAAGGCAGACTTCCTGTTTAGACCTTCCCGCTTCAGTGCCAAATTAAAAGAAATTTCTTATTCCAATTTTCCGTTCTACTCACGAACAGTTATTTAAGCTCCAATTGTCCACAGGAAAAGTCAGCGCTCTCCGGCAACAGCAATGCGGCTTCACTCCGTGAAAGAAGCAGTCGATTCAAGGCACCGCGCCACTCACCCCACGTCGCTCCGGAACCCCGAAATCGGGTTTCCCGCGAGTAGGTGGGCGCAAAGGTGCCGGCCGATCCCACGTCCACAGGCTTCTCCTGCCTGTGGTTTTTGATGGGTCTCCGCCTCGCCGTGGCGGTTCAGACCCTGTTTTCCACGGAGCGGATTCCTCCCGATCGGAGGAAATCCGCCATTGCCAGAGGTGCCAACCTGGAAGTCTCCTCTTGAATATATTTATCAAGCGCCAAGGGGTTATGTGACCAGCAAACAAGGTGGGTACGATTGCCATACGTCCGGAACCTCCCAGACATAACTCAAAAACTGTAGCAGTGTCTGGGCAGAAATTGGAATAATGTCTGGGAAATTCTGGACGTATGGCAAGCCATGTCAGCTTTTGCCAATTGTCAAAAAAAGAGAGAGCTAAAAAAACTGCATTTTTCTGCGGTCAACAACTTTGGCCAAAACACACACCCCACCTTTTGTGTCCGGATTTTCACTTTTTAAAATACGGCAACCCTAAAGGTTGGCGGGAAGATGCAAAAAAGCCTCCAGCCAGATTGTCTTAAAGAACAGCTTCGCTTTAGAGAACCCAATCTGTGCATGGATCAAGTTGTTGTATGTGGTTTGATCCCAATGCCAGGATGAAATTAGAAAACCCCTATATTCAGCATGCTAGGCTGCATTCAGTTCCCCTGTACAGCACCCCTGGTCTAAAATGAGCACTAAATTTAGCTCAGTCCAGAGACCCCTCCCCCCCAGCTGAGGGGAAGAGCTGTAGTTCAGTGGCAGAGCATTTGCTTTGCATGCAGAAGGTCCCAGGTTCATTCCTCAGCATCTCCAGGTGGGGCTGGGAGAGTTCCATGTCTGGAATGTCACTGCCACTGCCAGGCAACTAAGCTAGACACACCAGTGGTCACTCAGAATAAGTCTGCTTTTTATATTCACATACAGTGGTACCTCTGGTTAAGAACTTAATTTGTTCTGGAGTTCCGTTCTTAACCTGAAACTGTTCTTAACCTGAAGCACCACTTTAGCTAATGGGGCCTCCTGCCGCTGCCACGCCGCTGGAGCACAATTTCTGTTCTCATCCTGAAGCAAAGTTCTTAACCCGAGGTACTATTTCTGGGTTAGCGGAGTCTGTAACCTGAAGTGTCTGTAACCCGAGGTACCACTGTATTCATGCAGATGATAGATAGATAGACAGACAGACTGGTGGAGGAAGAGGGGGTGGGGGAACTGCACCGCCCCCAACAGTGCGATCCCGGTGGGGTGCCATCGCAGCTGCCCCCCTGCCCGCGCTGGGTGCCATGCCCCAGGGCGTGCACCACACCGCCAGGATGTGTGCCAGCCACGCCCCCATCTGATCTCCGCCCCCCAGTGCCGGAGCATGAAGCTCTGCCACTAGATAGATAGATAGATAGACAGAGGGCTTTTCCCCCGCCAGAATTCAGTTCCGGCACCTCTCAGGTGGGCTCTATTGCCATTATAAGAGAACAAGGGAGGCATTCGTGGTGAGTTCTGGCATCTCTTTTTCTAGAAAAATAGCACTAGATAGATAGATAGATAGATAGATAGATAGATAGATAGATATAGACACATACATACACCCTTAATGGTGACAGGACTGTGTTTGAGCAAATGCAGCACCAGCTCATTTTCAAGTCTCCTTGATTGGGAGCTCTTGTTGTTGTTTTTTGTCTCCTAACAGACAGAGTTCCCCATAACCATTTCCAGGAAGGTGTTATTGCATCAGTACAGCAGGCAAGGAAATCATAAAGAAAAAAACAACACTTACAATGGAAGAGTAAACGATATTTTTTTGTTTGGCTGACTCAACTATGTTAACATATATCTTTATGGCCAGTTGTCACTGATGGAACCGCTTTAAATGTCATTTTTGGCAAAAGCAATTTACTGCCTAATATTTGCACAGCCACAGCGAGAACCAACGAGGAAATTAAGAAAACAAGAAAACAAGAGAGCATTTATGAAAATAAGGCCTCGCCAATACTGCTGATCTTTTAGAAGAAAAACAAGGACCAGATCTCCCAAGGAAAACCCTTCGGTGTGGGTTTTTATAAGGACAAATGAATGCAAGTGTTAACAAGGCCTAATCTTGCCTTTTGTATTTGTTTCTTCATTAAGCTCTAACTATGCTTTTGCCCTGTATATTGAGGATTTGATGAGAAGATGGTATGACAGGCTTGGCTTCTCCCAATGCAGCTGGCACTGCTGATGCCAAAAGCCAGAGACTGTTGTAGTGGGATCATGAGAGATTCGTTCAGAGTACAGTTTCCCTGTCAGTTTCCCATCCGCTTCAGAGTGCTCAGCTCCATCTTTGAATCCCCTTAATGAGAAGGGGAGGACAATGCCAGCATTGTTGTTTCCATTCGGAATTTTGTGGAAAGAACAATCGCTGTTTACCCAAGCATTTGTACTACCCAAACTCTTCCGATAATTACTTCTCGAGCCCCTGATTAACTCTGCTCTCTGCCTCAGCACAAAAAGCTATTGAGCCACAAACAGGACAACACGGCTATCACTCCAAGGGCACAATCCACCCAGAGCTGCTTCTGCACCAGCCCCGCTGAAATGAGGGGTTTCAGCAGTGCCCTTGCACAGCTGACATTCCTTTCAATGGGGCTCGCTCCTAGCAACCTCCCTGGTGGATTGTGCCCATAGTCTTTCGGCAACTTACGGGATCATTAGGACAGGCTTCATAGTCATTGCAGGAACAACGGAGGGCCTAATATAATTTGCACTCAGCTTGTCTGTATCATGTAAGAACTCACTGTGTCTATCTTCTGCTGGAAATGCTGCATAACAGATTATATTAGGGAGAAAATATTCTTTTACTTTTCCATTTCTAGTGTCTAAATTTTCCCGTAATAAAGAAGCACATTCAAACTTTCGCTGACATTTCTTAGCATTTTATCTTTGTTAACATTCTATGGCACAATATGTAGCAGAACATTTCCATTTATATAATTACTACTAGGGCTTTTCTTTTTCTCTGATAAACCAAACAAAATTGAGCAGTTGCTGCGTCTTTTTCTAGGATGCTGGTAATAATTTCAGTCTGTCAAATCACTGGGTTATTCTCCCCCTCCTCCCCACCTAAGTACAGGCAGCTAGCGACTAGTCCTATGCAAAACAGCATCATGAATATGGGTAAATATGGAGATCTATGGTAATTTTCCAGGGTTATCTAATGTGACGTTTATAGGACAGCAGCACACATCAATTTAAACAAGAGTGACAAATATCTTATGGTTTTATTTCCATAGTATTTTAAAATATTATCTTGCTCTTTGAAATAATCAAAAACTAGAAAGAAATTCAGGGGTGTCCCCCCCCCACAAAAAATTCCTTCCAACAAAGCTCTCTACTAGCATATTACTGTTTTAAATGTCATTAGTTAAAAGTCAGATTTTAACTTAAAAAAATCATAGGCTGTCATGATTTAAGAAGGATGATTTACTGCCTTAGGGAAAAAATTAAGCCTCTGTTGTTCTATGTATGTTGTTTGATGTCACAATAGGCTACAAAGACAAAGTAGAAAAGTGGGCATGTTAAGTGTAGATTTTTGAAGAGAATCAGATCTATCCAATCAGTTTGAAATTCTCACTGGTTTTATGGTGGAATTCATTGCTTGAAACTTCATTTACATGTGGCATAAAATCTGTAACATTTCTACCTGGAATTGAGACATAATGTAATTCCTTTTGAGCCTTAATCCTTTTGATTAGCATTTGTTGAGCCTTTGTAGAACTTTTAAAGGATTTGCCCTTTAAAACCTGCATGGAACAGGATGGACTCAGTCCAGTCCCCATGCAGAACTGAGCTGGGCTGGACTTTAATAGTTCTGTCCTCCTTGGCAACAAATCACCTGCACTTGGCTGACACTCTTCCTCACAACAAATCTATCAGCCTAATTTTGCCCTACCAGCTTGGCCTTCTGTGATCGCAGTCATGGTCACAAGATTGGGAGAGGCCCTAACATTCCATTTAGTCCAAGCTGAGTCTGAAAGTAACTACACAACCTTTAGGAAACATCTGAAGGGAATAGGGAAGTTTTTTTAATGTTCAATGTTTTATATGTTTTTATATATGTTGGAAGTCGCACAGAGTGGAGAAGGTCCGCCCATGGCACCATTCACATAACAAAAACCAGAGGTATCAACATTTTCAATAACAGGGGATCCATGGCTTGGCTTTTGAAAAACAGGGGGTCCGCAGTATTTAGCTAATTGGGAACCACTGGAATAGGGGATAAAATTGAACCCTGAAGAACCCCACACTGAAGGCTCCACAGGGCTGAAGAGCATTCTCCAAGCATTAACCTTTGGGTCAAGCCCTCCAAGTAGGACTGGAACCACCTCCACCTCCAACTCAGCCACTCCAGAAGGATACTAAGGTTCGTCAGTATCGAAAGCCACTGAGAGGTCGAGGAGAATTAGCAGAGACACGTTTCCCCTGTCTCTCTCCTGACAGACTAAAGACATAATTAGGAAGCAATCCTTACTCCACCATGTTGATGGCTGGGGTGTGTGTTGTGTTGGAGTGTAGCCCCCCCCCCCACTGGCCTCCACTGGTGGAGAGGAGCTCTGCTGGTGGTAGGGTGGGGAGCCTCCACTGCAGCAGATGTCCAACCTTCACCCAAGCAAACAGGAGGCTACTTCCAGTGGTCCTTCTGCTGGTGGTAGCTGGTGTAGGGTTTTATTTTAACACTGCATATACAGTTATTTGCTTATCTGTTTACCTTCTTATTAATTTGAAAATCTGACTTTTTTTAGAAGTGCAAAACTGGTCCAACAATTGTGGGGGAGGCATTTGGTCAACTCACAGGCATCAGCCAGTCAGATCTATATCCAGCCAGTTTCTGGGGGAAACCTGCAAAACCAACTTTTAGAACTCACTCTTGGAAAGGAATCACTATTTTTTTTTTTTTAAAAAAAGAATGCAATGAGGCGGCTTCCATCTTGTACCTGCTGATCTAACTATGTTGCACCTGTCTTCACCCTTAGAAATCTATTTAGTAGAATATCCATGCAGGTGCTAAATACTCCGATGAGGCAAGATGGTGAGAAAGGGCAATGTAACCGTTAAGAGAAATATGTGAGCACACACACATTTACACTTCGGTAGTACAAGTCCAAGCAGCAAATCAGCCCTCCTATCACATTTTACAAAGTATTATTGTACCCTAAAGATAAACACATTTATTGTGGCAAAAACTTTTATGGATGAGAAACCACCTTGTCAGATGCATGAAGTGATCAGCTAGGACAGGACTGAGCATAAAGGAAATCTGGATTTATGGGCAGGTCTATAGATGATATAAAATAGATTGGCAAGGGACACTGAGGGTCATCTAGTTCAACCCCCTGCAAAGCAGGTAATGCAACTGAACTGCAGGGATGCTTGGGTTAATTGGGAGTGAACTTCAGCATGAAAAGAGTGTGAGCTCAGTTCTGTTCTCATATTGAGAACATTTAAAACACATCCTATGCACATTCCAAGCACTTGACTTTGCCCAAAGGATCCTAGGAACTGTAGTTTGATACGGGTGCTGGGAACTGTAGCTCTACGAAGGAAAACTGCAGTCCCCAGAATTCTTTGGGGGAAGTTGTATGCTTTAAATGGGCACTGGGTATGCTTTAAATGCACAATGTGATCAGAAGCACCCTGTTCTTTCATTCTGCCTGTCTTATGCACCTAGTTGTGGCTAGTAAACCTTGAGGAGACAAACACTACATCCAGCAAAACCTGAAATTTGCCCACCTTGTCCTAGGAGCACAGGACTAGCTCAGTATTGCAAGTGATCCTCCAGCATTTCAGGAATTGAACCCAGAGTCCTTTATATGCAAAACATGTACTCTACCACTGATCTATGGCTTGTCTAAGACAGGGAGGGAGGGAAAGGGAGGGGTATGTTTTAAAAGTTGGGTTTGCAATGTTTGGGGTTTTTCACAACGAGGGACCAAAATGCAATAGATAGTTTGTACGTGTGTCACAGAACTATGCAGATTCTAATCAAACAAATAAGATCCAGTTAGCTCACTCCAGACCAGCAGACATTGATGATGAATAGGCACAGCTAGATCAATAGTGTAAATAAACACCTAAGGAGGCAGCAATACTTTCTGTAGCAAGCAAGCCAACAGAAAGGATTTGTTGAGACCAAATTTCCAAGTGTCAGGTTGGCTAATAAATTTTGCCTTGGCAGCTTCACCTTGGAGTCTGCTTCTGAAACTTTATTTAGTTGGCATGTGGCCACCTTAAGATCTGCTACAGAATATGTTGGTCTTTCAAATTTCAGCGGTGTGCTGTACGAGTCCAAAGTTTGAGGCCCCCCGCCTCCCTACATCCAGTCTGTGTGTGCACTACGGCATAGTTGTGGCACCATGCAGTGCCCCTCTTAGCTCAATGCCCAGTGCAGGGTACCAATTGTGCTGCCCTAAATCCATCTCTGACTGCTGGACACTCCGGAACTTTGCAATATGCTATACTAGTCTATCACTCACAGTAGAATTGGTCCTGCATTCAGTAGTGTCCTGATTAATGGGCCCAATGACAGCTGGCTCCTCCAAGCTCCTGCAGCATCTGGAATCATAGAATCTTAGGATTGTAGAATTGGAAGGGACCTGAGGATCATTTGATCCAACTCCCTGCAATGAAGGAATATGCAGGGATCGAACCTGTGACCTTGGCATTATGAGCACCACTCTCTAACCAACTGAGCTATCTGGAATGAGAGACTAAAAGAGCAAGCCTAGGCTTTGATTTGATGGAAGTTTTGAATTTGACTAGAGAAAAAGAAAAAGGGTGCCTAGGTTTTTGGAAATGGTTAACTGTAGCACTTCTAGAGCTTCAGAGATGCTGCCTTTTCTTGAGGTTGATGTTCCTCTAATTCCTGGAAGTAGCCTCTTGTCTTATATAGGGATTGCTTTAACTGTACTTTTAATATTTTCCCCAAATTCCCCCTCCCCTAAAATGCGTTCATGTTTAGGAGTACAGGAAGCTGCCATATACTGAGTCTGACCACTGGTCCATTTAGCTCAGTATTGCCTCCACTGACTGCTGTTGCTCGCTAAGACAGGGAGGGCGAGGCAGCAGGGAGGTTAGCATGTTGCAAACACATGAGCAGGAGTGCCCCATTCGCTCTATTGGTGCATTTGTAGCACACCGACTGCCCCACTGCCTTGCCCCTCGCCCTCCCAGTGACCCACCAATGAGAAAACCAACAATGACTATCTTTGTTGATGTATTAATTGTGCTCATTATCTTTCACTGAGGATGCAGCTGAATGCATGGCGCTAGTACTCTACAGGGGGAGTGATGTATGCACAATATGCAAGGTGAAAGGCATGTGCCATCATGTGCATAGCCGGGGGTGGGAGGCTGCCCCCCCCCATCAAGTAAAGAAATAAAAATACCTAACTAACTGACCAATTGCGTTGCAGGTAATTTGCCCATGTGTGCCAGCTAGCTCCACAGAACCCTGGGCATCTCCATCCTAGAGAATAGTATCATATGTCCAAAGGGGAATCCATATATATATGGAGCTGAAGAGATTCGTACATTGGGTTGCACAAAGAAACAAGCACACCCCTTTATGTGGTAATTAAAAGTAAAGTTTTGCTTCACTGAACCTCAGTAAAACACTTTAAATCACTTTTCACGTTTTGCACTACCAAAATATTTTTTATCTAAAAAACAATGACAAACAAACTAGAAATATCTTGTATACTCAGTTTATACGGGTGAAACCCAATAATTCATAGATTGTGTAATAAAAATACTAATGTATGGTTAGCTGGAAAAATTAATGAAACTACACAAAAGATTCGAGAACCAGGCAAATTAGGTATAAAATGAAATACTTTCAGACATTTAATTTATCACTCCCGTTCAAACTCTTGTTTTAATTTGCTGTTAAAAATCCTATTGCCATTTTTATTTACCGGAAATAAGCTTCTCGCGTTAAATGGCCACATATTACAAATGACAGAGACTGGATGCGGTAGGTAGTTTTCTTTTGGATGCTAAGGCGCAAAATGTAATAATTTAATGGCAAGCATCTGTCTTGCGATCATGTAAGATAAATTCCTAAGAATTACCAAGGAGATATTTATTTACTGCTACTTCTAAGCCAACCTTTATTTATCTTTTGAAGGAAAAAAGAGACAGAGAGAGAGAGAATCATCTCTAAGTGGAAAACAAACTTTCCTTCAAGAGGTCTGCGAACCGAATAATAAATGTCAGATCTAAATCCCGTATGAAAATAAGTTCCATTTAATCCTGGACATTCTTCAGGATGCAAATGAAGTCTGGAGGTTTCTTTGGCCTGCTGTCAAAATAGAGGCAGACCTGCTTATAGACGCTGGCTGGCACACCAGTGTGGCGGCGGGTTCTCCTCCTGCCCCTCCCCCCTCCCCATCCTAAGGCTTGGTCTCAGCTGCCTGCCTTTTGCAGAAAATCACGAACCAAAGGAAAATATCAGTAATAGCACCCTGTAAATTAATTTGACGTTTGATGCAGGGGAAGGGTGAAAAAAGAAGAAGAAAGGATGGAAGGAAGGAAGGAAGGAAGGAAGGAAAAGGGCGCTCTCCAAAAAGCTTACAAAAGACACTGGAAATAAAAGCTACTCAGGACTCCCTTGTACATATACTTGTGGCTTGAAGAGATCTGGGAGGTGGCTACTCTATTGTATGCAACACATAGTGCCTTCATCTTCTTTGTTAAGACAATCCGATCATTCTTTGTTAAAGGCAGAGTCTCTGCCCAATCAACATACTGGCAAACAAACAACCGCCTCACCTTCCACTTCCATAGAAAAACCCATATGTTCTAGCAATATCTGGAGAGAAACATGGCAGCTAATAGCTGCATTTTCCACTGGAAATATATAGCCATGTATTTTGGGGGGGATAATGCTGAAGCCATCTGCATTCATTTGCCTAATATCTGAGACACGTGAGCACACACACACACACACGCCTGGCATTGCCACATATACATAATAAAAAGGCAGTGTTTATGATTGGCATAAATGTGCGAGTTATACAGAGAGCTTTGCTTGCACTTGAGGGATATTGTTAACTCTAATCATTTCATTTCTCTCCCTCAAAACTATTAATATCCCTTTTTGTAAAAGTATTTAATTCAAAAGTAAACTATTGATGAAATATTAACTGATTCTTTGACATTACTCACAATGTGTGGATATAGTGAGGCATGGCATATTTAAGCTATTAGACATGCAGGAATGCCATTATGCTTCATTGTGTCTGGCTGTCCCTCCCCCCATTCCCCTCCTTCCTTCCCTTCCTCCCAATCTCTCTCTGGCAGCTCTGCATCTTACAAATGTCTGGCCTTATGGGTTACAAGCACAGAAGTGTAGTGGTAAAATGCATAATCTTAGCATCTCTGCTTCTTGATATTCATGGATTTATTTACAAGTCCCTGTGTTCTACTTCTCTCCCCTCCTCCGCTGTTTCTGTAGTTTATATTACTGTCATGCCCATGTTCCTGTGGAAATTTCAAATAAGAATAAAAATGCAACTAGCAAATACTCTGCAATATTGTCTACATTCTCATAATTTATCAGGGCTTCCGGGTTGGTTTGTTTTTACCTCCCCTTTTCTTTCTTCTCCCTCTCTCTTTTTTTTTTTTTAGAAGAGAGGATTTTAAGAGGTTTCTGGACTTGCAGATATATGAAGAGTAGTTTGATTGGCTTTTTTAGTACTTCGGCTACTTAAGGTTCAGTTTGTATAAAATGGCTGTAATAAAATGGATTTATGTACATGTGTATGCCTGGGTATATGCAAATGCATTTGGAAGGGAAAAGTTCATAAATCCAGTCAATTTTGTTGATTAAGCTCAGTACTCACATACTAAGAACATTTAAATATTTCACAAAAGGGTTAACATGCTGAAGAAAGACTTATTCATTTCAGCATTTCTTTTGGTTTCCACTGAAGAAAGGGTTTATCAGTTCAAAAGAAACCATTCATAGTTAATTTTCAGAGAGCTTTTCAGTCAACATTACAAGCATGAAATGGATATTTGCATAGTGGTTTCACTGTCAAATTGGCATGGGGGGGTTGTTTCATAAATTTCACCAATGATTTATTTGCTTAATATTTACAGGCTAGGGGCTTGATATTACAAATATGTATGTACTTACCCATTTATACACTAACAGTGATCTTAATATGACTTGCAATACCAAAGATTCTGCAAAGTACTAAAGGTCTTGCAATCACATCGCAGGCTTAATATACATCCCGCTAACTGACTCTCCCCCCCGCCCATCTCTCTGCAATTTACATTTGTATATTAATGAGGCATTTTGTCAAGACTGTGCATTAATTTATTTGACCCAGTAGCACTAATTTGGAAAAGCAGTTCGATTTATGCATACAGAACATGCATTCTTTTTGATGCAAGATGCCAAAGCGTCATACATTCAGGATGAATAAAATACTCACACAGATAGCAAAGGCAGTTGCATTGCAACATATGCTGGGCACAGAGCTTATTAAATGACATTTATAACATTTATAAAATGTTCATTTATAGAGTGGAGCAGGCACTGGGCACTAAATATATGTTAAATAGGAGGAGGAGGAGCTAAGCAATCCAGCTTTGGCATGATTGTATCATTTGGGTGAATATTTTCTCTCTCTCTCCCTCTCTCTCTCTGTGTGTGTGTGTGTGTGTGTGTAAAATATACCAATTACAGTAGGTAGCTATTTTTAGAAGACACTCATTTGAGAGCTGTGGGAGAAAAGATAGCACAGTAAGATATGCGTGCATTTTTGTAATTCACATTTTTGCAGCGATTCTATTGTGTACTCGAAGTTTCCATCATGGCTGGGAAATAGGAAGCTGGCATTCAGTCAGTGCATTAGCAAATAAATAAATAAATAAATAAATAAATAAATGCAGGATTTGCATTTGGCAGAGGCTTCTTTTTCCTTGCTTTCCCAAGCTGCTAATTATTGCATCGATCTCTATTCAGATTCAGAGATACACAAGATACATATTTGCAAACTGTGCATACAAATATATACAGTATATACACCAACATGTATCCAAATGACAATGTTTTCTTCCTGTCCTTCCAGGAATCTCAGTCTGTTCAAAAGGATTGCAGAAAAAATGAGTCTGAATGTGCAGCATTAAACATTTAAATTCCATACACCCTGGTCATTATACTGACTATCGTATTCTACATCTCTCTCCCCCCCCACACACACACTGTAATTTTGCTGATTTCTGCTTCCATGTGGTAGTTATGCAGATAGCCTTTGTTCTATAGAAATGGAATACGGCACACGCGCAAAGCAAGTGGTACACTGAAGAATGGAATTTTTCTGAGTGTTTAAAGGATGGTTCGTCTATCTGGCATATGTGGGTGCACTATAAAGCAATCTTAATTAGGCCAGATACATCCTCTTCAAATACTATTGGCAACAATTATACACGCAATTTAAAATGCATATGTTTAACGTTTTCTAGAAAAATCAAACTTGGTGTCTGTGGGTACAATCTAGAGAAAATTAGGGTGTTTCAAGTCCCGTTGATATCAATGGTATTTAGATGCCCAGTTAACCATTTAAATTCCACAATCTCAACTGATGGCAATTGCCAAATTTCTCCCAATGTGTTTTATGCATTAGCACATTTTAATCGTCTAACATATATGTAAGCAATAGGTCACAAACAGGTAATGTAGTGC